TGTTGATCTAGAAAGGGGGAGGTCTTTTGCCCTGCTTTTTGGTATTGTTATAAAAAGCCCTTTTGAAGAGACAGAAGGGGCTGGTGGGTTTTGATCCAGGTCCTCCCGAAAATATCCTGTGTTTCTGTCTTTCTCCTCCTCACTATCTTTCTATCTAAAAGTTTCTTATCCCTCTCTCCTCCTCATAGGAACCCTTTAAAAGGTGGGAGCTGGCCTCCCACAGATTGGCACCAGAACTAGGGACTTGGGTGCAGAGGGGAGGAAGAACCACGGAAGCAGCTGGACATGTCTGGTTTTGTATTAATGTTAAAGGCAGTGGTATTTTATTCTTTGGGAGCAAAAACTGTATACAGCAAGTATCTCTGTCTAGGTTTCTCCTCTCTCTCTCTCTCTCTCTCTCTCTCTCTCTCTCTCTCTCTCAATTTCTATCTATTAAATTAAGAAAAAAATGTAGGGTTTAGGTATAGGAATATTGTGTAGGAAGAAACTTAGGGTAAGAGTAGAATTTCTGTAGTGCCAGACCTGAAAACAGCATCCAAGAACAAGCAGCCACTTTAGACTTAGCAGTCTGAAGAAGAAAAGTTGCTACAGGGCAGGGAAATAGTAGGCAGATGTTTGTATACTCGCTTGTAGAGAGTTTGAAAACTAGGGAGTTAAGGTAGAACAGCACAAGAACAGAGGTTCTTAGAGTTCGTAGAGGAGCCGTGTCCTTGGTTTTCCGACTATGGGACTCTGGATACAAACTCCTGGGGGAGAGTAAGAGTTGAAATGCAAAAATATTCTGAGGAACATGGGCTGGGAAAAATTCCAGTGGAAGCTTTTAGTCTGTGGGTATTAATTCGGGACAGCTTAGATCTACGTCCTGAGCAGCACGGGGGAATTTTCCCTGAGGCAGATACAGGCAGAACAAAACCTTCTGCTCTGCCAGAGCTGCCATTAGATGAGAAAGTTTTTACAACATCATTCAATCAGGGTCAGTTCCCTCTTGGCCATGAAGCCCAGTTTAAGGAACAGAAGTCTTGGGATTAGACAAGGGAGGAACTAAAATGCTTGGAAAACTTAGTAATTCCTCTTTCTCAAAAACAGGAAGCTCTTCAGGTCTCTCCTTCTCAGAAGGGAACTCCTGGGCATGTGGGGGTCATCTATCAGAATGGCAAAGTCACCCTTAATATTAATAAAACATGGTTTGGTGAATCTAAGGGAGTCTTTAGGTTTGATGCGGTTGCATCAGGAGTTTATTGATTTATTTGATGCCTTTGCATCAAGAGTTTATTGATTTAAAAAAGGGCTTGACACAACTAAAGCTGTTGCAGACATCTTAGACCAATACAAAAAGGACATTCCATATTGGTCATCCTCTACTCCTTTACTGGGAGTGTGTGGCAGCTATAGGGATTGCTGTGGTTATTCAAACTACTTGCAGCTCTTAGTAGTGACCTGAGTCAGAGTTGAGTTAAGCTCTGTACTTCACCCTGCCAAAGGCTAGTAGTCAAAGACGGGTAAAGTTCTTCTTCCTAGCTGCTAACCGATGATAGAGTATGCTTGATGGAAAGTGTATCTCCACGATGTGTAAAGAAGATTAGTAAAGAAGGACAACCTAAGGCAGGCACAGTCCATCTGAGGGGTCTGAGGGTCCCTTTAATGTATTAAAAAGTGGGAGCAGTAGAGAACCACAGAGATTTCCTAGAAAGAGATTACTCAGGGTCCAAGAATTTGAGCTTGCTTTACTCAGCAGGGCTACATAAGTAGATGATTTGACCACAGGCGTGGTTACCAGGTATTTGGAAGGGTTTACACTTGGCTGTGTGATATGCTTTGATCTTGCAAGGAGGAAGTCTTTTTCCCTGCCCCTTGACATTGTTATAAAAATCCCTTTTGAAGAGGCAAAAGGGACTGGTGGATTTTGATCCAGATCCTCCCGAAGCTATCCTGTGTTTCTGTCTTTCTCCACTTCACTATCTTTCTATCTAATATTTTCTTACCCCTCTCTCCTCCTAATAGGAACCCTTTAAAAGGTGGGAGCTGGCCTCCCATAGGTAATAGCACATTGCCCTAAGATGTGATTGTGGAAGCATATCCAATCCTCGATTGTTTTGTGTGACAGGGAAGGGCAGGAACTTGCTTAATTTCAAAGTAGGAAGCAGTGGATGGTTTGAGTGTGGATGGTAGAGTAACCTGTATTGATGGGAGTTTAAAATAAGTCTGGGAGTACAGTTTACCCCAATATATAGATTAAAGAGGAGACGATGAAGAGCATGGCAAGCAGGACTTCCTCAAAATTAAACAAAATGTGCATATTAACAGGAGAGAATGAAACAGTAGTCAGGGATCATCTAATCAACCAATTTGGAGACAATCTATCAGATTATATCAGAATATATATGTATATCAGAATATATATATCACAGACTACCATTCCTATACTACCAAGGAATTAAAATACAAATACTAGTAAAATACCTTTGGAGGTAAAAATACCACCAATCTTTCTGTTCCATGGAACTGTAATATAAAAAGTGAAAAACAAATTAGACTCTTGAAACACTTATGCAAAGATTTTTAAGACTATTCCTCATAAAAAATATTATAAGACAGTTGTCATCAATGAGAGTGCAGGTGTAGGTGGCATTCTCCACATGACTGGGATTCTGATTGATCTGTTATTTCACTGGAAATCTTCCATGATAAGAAGTTCACTATAGTGTGGAGGCTGGCCGTGCATCTCACTATTTTTATTTCCCTTTGCCCACATCCCTGTGCCATATATTATTTTTCCATTCATAAATTTAATATGTGAGTTGTTTCCACATTCTGAATATAATGATCTGTGCTGTGAAGAACATTCATGCACAGACTTTTCTTCTCCCTTTTTCAATGGTTTTACATACATGTTTGGAGCTGCATAGTCACATGGAAATTCTATGTAACTTCCTGTGGAACTATGGGCTGATTTTTGCCCAAAGACCAACACATTTCATGTTTCCACAATTACCTGCTCATCCACTTTATATTCTGCCTGCAACCAGTTTCATCAGAATGGTGGACTGTGCCTGTGATTCCCAACCTTCACATGTACATAGACTGTTGTCTACATAATCATCTAATGTCTCCAGTTACAAAAGTGACACAGCAGGAACTTTAAGACACTTAGTGATGTGCTGGCTGAAGACACTGATACACATTCAACTGAATGTGAACTAGTCTAAATATGACTTCCAAATTGCACTCCTTCATAAAAAGAAAAGTTTAATGGAAATGCTGTCATGAAACTCTTCATAATTCCCTAAATACAGTACTTCCTCTCATATTCAATGTGGGAGAAACACTAAACATTAACTATAGATAATCTTCAGGAATATTAACAAGGGGAAAGAGTGTATTTAGAGAATGACACAAAGATGATCTTCTTCCTCAAAGAGTTCTGTGGAAATGTTTTTCTCAGGTAAAGATCAAACTCACAGAACCTAGAAAGTTTATAAAACCTGCAAGTGCTTATGTTGAGTAAACTTTGGAATGAGGCTAGAAGTTTGGACAGAGTAATGAGGAGAGTCCAAATTGGTGGTTTGCATATGATGAACTCTTCATGTGGAAAAGAAAGATGAATGCCGCTGTATGCTTTCCCACAGCAGGTATGTGCTACACTATTCCTGTGATTCCAACGAATGCACTCAAGGTATTCTTAGTACACCATGATCAGATCCTCTCATGAAAGATAAGAATGTGAATTCGACATTTACCTGCACTCCACACATTAACTCTGACTCTGATGGTCTAATGACACTGGTCCTCATGTGTTGACTATAGACACCAATGATACTCCACTACACAAACACTCAAGAACCTGAGCTTTTAATGAGTAACTAGGTTTATCTGTACGGTTAAATACTATATATTTTTTTTAGGAAATTAACTTGGTAGTGTAGGAGGTAATTTTCAGATTTATACTACACAATACCATTGAAGTGAGATCAATTTGTGTACTTTCAAAACCCAGAGAATACCTGATCATTTGGGGAAGAGGAATGTGGGGAATGGAGTGAGGCTTTGTCCTGTCCATATCCTTCAAGGAACAGGATGACCTCATTTCTACCCCAAGGATCTTGTCGAGTCCTGATGAACATCACAGGTGAAAATCTAAGCAGTCTAGTTCCATGAAGAAATATGTGTGGTGGAAAGTACAAACTAGGTTCATCATGGGAGGAAAAAACTTGAGTTGGCAGCCTGTATACAATCAGACTAACATGATTTCTTAATCTGTAAACATTCTGGTTCATTGATTTTGTTTTTTTCCCTGTGAATTAAACAGCATTAAGTTGACCCACAATTAAGTTTCCACAGCCAGCCTCTTGTGAATAGAAATCCAAGTTGTAGGTCTTACCGAAAAGTAGCCACAAAATTTCCCATGGGCCAGGACAGGAGAATCGACATGCAAGCAGAGCTGTTGTCTGTCCCGACTACATCCACATAGTCACCCATCCACGGATAACTCAGTGGGATGACATATTTCATCTTAAAATTTCTCTTACACCTAGAGAGAGAATCAAGGCATCTGTTAGTTTGCTTTTCACTGTAGTTGGAATTACTTGTGGTAAGACCTAGTTCTTCCTGCTCCAGAGCAGAGGAGGACTCATCCATTTCTATCATGCAGGCAGGGCTCATGCTATGGTAGATGCACCTCAGCAAAGCCTGTGCTGAAGGAAGTTATGAGGCTCACACTTTTCAATGGCCAAGAATAGCCATAGTCTGGTCTTTTTTTTCTGATTGGTGAGTGTTTAGAATGACCATACTGTGTATTTTAAAGACATGACATTTTTAGAAAATCATGTGCTTCAATATTTCTCCCCTCTATTTAGTTAAGTGCTAAGCTTTTCTGCTTGTTTATTTCCATAACTTCAATACCAAGAAAATTAGTTAAATGTTTTATATTTTACTTAAATAATTACATTGAATGATCTTTTCCAAATAAACAATATAGAAATGTTGCCTAACTTAATAAAATTCATATTCTGTTGTCCTTCTCCCTGTCCTAGCAAGTCATGTGAGCAATTGCTCAGGAGAGTCTGAGCTCAGTACAATTGCTCCTTTAGTAAACCCATGATGTGCTTCTCATACAACTAACCACAAAGAGGATTATGTTCTCCAATAACCTAGTCAGATGATTACAAATATGTCTTCCTATCAAGCCTTCTGATGCTATCAAACGTGTTCTTGAGAAACAATCATTGTGGGAGCATTAATTTTCTTTCTTTACTCTTTTTATGTGGAGCTTGTTCTTTGATAATTTCACACGCATGTTCAATGTGTTCTGATTATTTTCTATTACTCTATCTTCTTTCCCTTCTATCTCTTGACCACTCTGCTTCCCACACCCATACTTTTTTGTATTTTTTTTTAATGATTGACTGTGTTTTACCTGGGGCAATTTTTTGTGTGAACCTTGGTATGGAACTCTCCATTGGAGACTAGTGAGCTAATAGGTAGCTACATAATTGAAGATAATGATTCGCTCTCTCTCAAATTCAGAGAACACTATGTCAAAAATACAACCTCTGGTTCAAAAATTCTACATGTAAATCTTCTCAAATCCAAGACATCTGAAGACTAATATTATACTCCCGTGAAAGAAGGCCCACCCCATATAATGGAACATGCTCTAGTCAAAATGCAAGCATACCATGTAACATTCATTTCAGGATTCACATACACGCATATGTCTCAAATATATGAAACATCTGTATTTTCATTTGCTTTTCACCCTCAGGACATCGAATCACATATATATTAACAGACAAATATATATATATATATATATATATATATATATATATATATATATATATATGAAATACTTAAACTGGAAACCTCTAATTCCAATATTTGTGTTAAGGGACAATCTGCCTTGAAAATTGTAAATAATGAAAATCATCTCTTATAAGCTTGATTATCCTCTTTCCTTAATATGAACGACAATCTCAAAATAGTTTTAATTACCATTGTCACACAACAGAAGGGGGACAAAAGCTTTGTCTTTTAGGAAAGTCAACCATTTTACTTTCATTTATTCTCAAAAAAAATCACAGTGAATTTCACTTACATTCACAAATTACACTCATATGGGAAACTATCAGTATGTTTTATTGATTTCAAAGGAATTTATTACTATCTTTTCAGATTAAAATATGAGGATTTCCAACTGTGGCATGAAGGGGTGCTGAGGAGAAATGACAAGGAAGATGGACAGGTTGGTGGACAGCCAGGACATTCAATCATTTCATTCTTGCCGCTGTCTGACACTGACTGACCATCAGTGTCTAGACTGGGAACTTTGGGGGACTGTTCAGGGTTGAAAGGAAATGAACCCAGCTGGTTGTGTCTAGAATGCAGAGCAGAACTCTCTCCTGCACCTTTCCTTCTCCTCACCATTTGTGAAGTAGATCTTCAGCAATATTATCACTGGTGACTAGAACGTTTACCCCCAAAACTGAGTGAACTGTTCTATTGATGCCTGTCCTCCAGTCTACTTATGTCTCTATGGGAACACACCCTTAAAATATTTACTTGATAAGGCCAGAACCTATTTCATAGATTTCAGAGTAATATGAAAGCTATGATCTTCTGGACAGGTGATCCCAGAAAATACCTCCATGGTTCTATGTGACAATATCACCATGTATAAAGCTTCAATCACAGAAGTTTCCTATGCCATCCACATGATCACCATGCTGGACCTAGTTGATGTCTGCAGCTTCCCCTGATTGGTTTAGGGATATTAGCTGCTTCTCATCTCTTCACACTACTTTGGAAGTTATGAGCTCACAGAGATTCACATGTGTGGCCCCTTATGAGCAACCATCATAATCAGGGAATTCCCCTCTTGCTTCTACAATCTATCTGTAAATACCAAGCAAGAAGGCCCCTGATTATCATGTTTTTAATATTTTACTTTGAGAAGATGTCTCCACAAGATCCACAAATTTGCAATACTCATAAATCAGCTCCCAAAGTGCTGGAATTCCTGGCATGTGCTACCACACTTGCCTCCTTTTCAAGTTTGTTGCTATTCTTTCCCCAGGATCAGACAGCAGAACAATTGGTTACCCAATAGCATATAGACAGCTCTGAAAACAAATATACAAATGTCTAATATATGTATAGCTATAAATACATATGTATTATATTTACATACATATATTTTAATATACATATATATGTAACAACAATTAATAAAAAAGAAGCCATGATTTTCACAGAGAGCAAGAGGAGGAATATGGGAGGATTTGTCAAGTGGAAAGGCAAAGCAGAAATAATGAAGTATTTATAATCTCAGAAAATAAAAGAAATAAAAAACCTTTTGTGGTTTTGAACAGTAAGGCCTAATCAAAGTGTAGCCTCTCATAGTAAGGAAGGCATAATGCACATACTCACAGGTTATTAGATACAATCAAAACATCACTGAACAAGGAGAGATGTTGTTTCTTCCTTCTCCAGCCTCTTCTGAGTTCCACGGGGCCTTGGCACAGCAAGGTTCGATGTATCCCTCCCATGGCTTTCTCCTCAAGGGTTTCCATGTAGGAAAAAAAAAGGCTTCTCTTGGTCCAGGTCTCCAACTAACAGAACAGGTATTCAGTGGTTGTTAATTGATACCTAATTTCAAAGGGTGAATGATATTAAAACACAGGCTCAGTTCTCCAACAGGCCTCTATTGAGCTACCAACAGTTTTAAAATGCAACAGAAAAGAAGAGGGTGCTTAGGAAAGGAAGCAATGGGAACAGATTGCAGGAGTGGGCTCTTTTTCAAAAGGGATCAACTTAGGGGCATGGGAAAAGTCTGAACAAGGGTAGCTGGTAGGGTCTAGAGAAGTGGTTCTCCACCTTTCTAATGATGCAACCCTTTAGTACAGTTCTTCATGTTGTGGACACCCAACTATAAAATTATTTCATTACTTCTTCGTCACTGTAATTTTGCTACTGTTATGAATCCTAATGTGAATATCTGATATGCAGAATATCTGATAAGGGACCCCAAAGGCTGAGAACTGCTAGTCTAGAGTGAGGAAAGGGCTGAGTGATGTAATTCTATCTCATTTTAAAAATTGAACAACAACAAAAAAATCAATGTTTAAAAAAAGAATTTGGATTTACCAACATTATTCATGATTTAAAAATAAAAGTAGTAACACATTGCAAGGCATCCTATTGGAGAGAAGAAATAATCACACACTAGAAAGATTCACAAGAAAGGAGAGATCAATGTCTAACATTAAATGAGGGCAGAAGTAGGTGACTCCTGAAAAATGGCCATTGGAGTAGCAACTTGGATGTCATTGCCAACCCTAATTGCAATAATATATGTGCAATAATAGGAGGAATTCTTGTGAAAAACTTTATGAAATGCAGATTTATCCCCAAAGACTCTCAATCCTAATTCTTTTAACCTATCAAAGACCCATGTGATAAAAGCAGCATGCAGACATCGTTAACACTGTGAACCTTAGAGTCTAACAGATGCAAGAATCACAGGAGTCTTTATAGACAAATGTGCCTTAGCGAGACAGTCAGAAAGTTGCATGCACAGGTAAGTCAGGTAGCTTTGGAGACTATGGAGGAGAGGTACATGCTTAGAAGAAGTAAAGCCTAGAGGCACAAAGGATTGTGACTGAAACAACCTCGAAGATGCTGTGTAAATCTCATAGTTTATTATGTAGTATACCTTGGACACATAATAATCATAGAAAGATCATGTAAGACTAGAATGCCCATGTCTTTAAAATGATTGAATTTTGGTGAGAGTAATAGATTGAACCTTTTGCAAACTGTGTGTTTTCACTGATAGGTGTAATTATACAGTACTAATTAAGATAGCAAAACTCTACCAAATTGTAAAGTTCTTTATAAAGGTCTTCTGCTGTGTAATTCTATTTGAAAATGACTGATATGTTGGAGTGCGGTAAAGAAAACAAATAAGAAAGTAATCTATGTATTGAAATGCCATAATTAATCCATTTCTTTGTAGGCTGTCATAAATAGATGTGAAAGAAATAAAAAAAAAGTTTTTTCTCAATGATTTAAACAAGTCAGGTCTCAGGGAGCACATATATCCAGACATGCCAATCTTTGTCCAGCACAAGATGGACTATAGAAGGATCTCCGGTAGTTAGAAAACAACAAAACAAAACCAACCAACCAAACAAACAAAAACAAAAATTAGCATTCATCAAGAATTTGTGAAATGGTTCTTAGACAGCAAAAGGAGTCATTTCCGTTGCCTCTGGCAAAAGGGACATATGGCTCTCCAATGACCTGTAGCTGCTATCAACACCCATGCTGCCTTCCAGGTTCCCTGTGTCTCGATTCAAAAGTACTTGCTAAATATCTCACAGCCCCATCTACTTTCCTGTCCCTTCACAACCACCCCACAAATGATCTAGAACTCCCCTTGCTCTCTTTAGGAAGTCTAGGTATTTCCCCCCTGCCCCAGCCATCTCCACTATTCTCTTTTGCTATTCTCCCTTCTCTCACAGACTGTTTTGGTCACATCAAGTCTGTTTCTTTTTATTTCTGCTCTGAACTCTTCCAGACACCTCTGAACATTCTCTCTTATCCACAATAAAATTCTTCCCTGTAATTATGGAGTAGCATTTTCAGTGGTTTCTTTACTGTGCCATGCTCATACAGTTTGAATATTCAAAATATATATATTTCTTCAAGTGAATATTACTCTTCCCAATACATATGTTATATGTTTCAAGGAATATGTACAGAAACACCATAGCTTTCATTTAGCTTTAAGATACCTGTGAATCAAAGCATCAAAGAGAGAATCAAACAGCCAATGGTTGTCCTCACACATGTCAAGCACATGTCCTCACACATGTAAAGATACGTTAAAAAATAGTACCAACTCAGTTTCAGGATAAACAAATTTGAAAGTAAATGACATATTTGGAAAGTCATTCCTGTCTAATCTGAATCAATGTTAAAATATAGGGAAATAGATTCTAAAGAACACAATATATGTTAGAAACTATAACAATTTGCTGAAAACCAGAGAGTTTTTATATTTTGGGTTGAAATCTGAACATTTCCAACAGACCTTTGTGGTCATAGTGGTTAAAACAATTAGAAGGATCAAAAAATAACCATCTCTCATAACTTGGACAGATAATTTTATATATTTAGATATTATTCTCCTGTGTAGCCTAGAACATACCTCCCCTGACATGTTAACCATATTTATTTAGGGGATAGGTAGTGAATATTACTAACATGGGTAGCTTTTCATAAAGCCATGGCTGAGTTAAGAATTGGCTCACATGATCTGCAGGAATCAAGACAGAATACTTCTTCATACCATTAGTTATCATGATAATCAAAACTACTTATTAAAAATACCTTTACAGTGAAGCCTGGAATGGAGAACCATTCAATGAACTTGAAATTATCTTTTCTTTTCTTGACACTAAACACCAAAGATGGCCACAGCAGTTGGAGACCAACTACTGAAGTCTGAGCACTCTGTAGTAGTCAGGGTGACAGACCACTGATGTCAACATTCTAAGGCTCATGCCATAACTGACAAAGTGACATATTCATTTCCTTCCCGCTTTTGGCTTTGAAAAAATATTTTTGAATAACTGTTGAGCCTCAAGTGTTTGCAAGGAACAACAGATTTTCACAACCTTAGTTTGATAGGTAGATTGATACATAGAAATAGATAGATAGATAGATAGATAGATAGATAGATAGACAGACAGACATAGAAATAGAGTTGACAGACATAATTATAGATAGACAGACAGACAGACAGACAGACAGACAGACAGACAGATAGATAGATAGATAGATAGATAGATAGATAGATAGATAGACAGATAGATAGATAGATAGATAGATAGATAGATAGAGAGTTGACAGACAGACAGAGATAGATGATAGATAGATAGATAGATAGATAGATAGATAGATAGATAGATAGATAGATCTAACAGGCAGACATAATTATAGATAGATAGATAGATAGATAGATAGATAGATAGATAGATAGATAGATAGATAGATCTAACAGGAAGACATAATTATAGATAGATAGATAGACAGACATAAAGATAGACATAAAGATAGATAGATAGATAGGTAGATGATAGATAGATAGATAGATAGATAGATAGATAGATAGATAGATAGATAGATGATAGATGGATGGATAGATAGAGATGAGACACACATACACACACACACACACACAGAGAGAGAGAGAGAGAGAGAGAGAGAGAGAGAGAGAGAGAGAGAGAATAGATCCTGATACCATTAGTCTATCATGAGAATCAAAAGTACTTATTAAAAATACCTTTACAGTGGAGCCTGGAATGGAGAACCTTTCAATGAATATGAAATTATCTTTTTCTTTCTTGGCACTAAACACAAAAGATGGCCACAGCAGTTGGAGACCAACTACTGAAGTCTGAGCACTCTAGTAGTCAAGGTGACAGACCACTGATGTCAACATTCTAAGGCTCATGCCATAATTGACAAAGTGACACATGCATTTATTTCCTTCCACCTTTTGGCTTTGAAAAATTATTTTTGAACAAGTGTTGAACCGTAAGTATTTGTGAGGAACAACAGGTTTTCACAACTATAGATAGATAGGTAGATTGATAGAAATAGATAGATGATAGATGATAGATAGATAGATAGATAGATGACAGACAGATAGTGAGTTGACACAAATATAAATATAGATACATAGATTGAGAGAGTTGACAGATAAACATAAATATAGATACATAGGTAGATGATAGATAGAGTTAACAGATAGACATAAAGATAGATAAATAGATGATAGATATAGATGATAGATAGATGATTGATAGATTAGATAGATAAGAATAGATAAAGCAATGGATAGATAGAGATGACAGGGAGAGAGAGAGAGAGAGAGAGAGAGAGAGAGAGAGAGAGAGAGAGAGAGAAGATCCTGATGCCATTAATCTATCATGAGAATCAAAACTACTTATTAAAAATACCTTTACAGTGGAGCCTGGAATGGAGAACCTTTCAATGAATGTGAAATTATCTTTTCCCTTCTTGGCACTAAACACAAAAGATGGCCACAGCAGTTGGAGACCAACTACTGAAGTCTGAGCACTCTGTAGTAGTCAGGGTGACAGACCATCGTGATGTCTGTGTGTGTATGTGTATATTTTATATGTATGTATACCTATACATATATAACAACATATATGTTAAATGTTATATATATATATAACAATGGTGGAATATATATATATATATATATATATATATATATATATATATATATATAAAACATTGGTGGAATCACATATAGATATACAGATCAATGTAGAATAGTATTAAAAGAAAATCATATTAACCCTTAATTTACTGATAGTCCCTGTGCTGATCTTTGAGTTTAATTTTTACCTACATTTTTCTAATTTAATATCTCTCCAGTTTTTGAATAGAAAAAGCAGTGTTTATCTATGGCCTTGTTGTGGTGGTAATCTAATTGTACTGAATTATTATTTTGATTGTATGTTAATAAATAAAGTTGTCTGGGGGTCAGAGCTATTAGAGCCATAGCAAGAGTGTGGCGGTGGTGGCACACGCCTTTAATCCCATAAGATCTCTGTGTGTTCA